AGTCATTAAACAGCACCTGAGGCTGAAGATGAGATTCACAGGCTCTCTGGGTAAATGAAAGGTTTATCCCAGGAGAAGATCACAATCAATATATGAGTACTCTTGTGTTCGATCAAAGAATATCCTCTGAGCAATCGCCCTCTCGCTCTAATTCGAGCTCAAAGGAATTCATGATCTTTGCACTAAAGTGCTTCGGTGTGAGTGGAAGGATATTTGTTTTTTTGGAGCTGATATCCTCATGCTCTGAAATGAGGCATGGTCTCGCTTTGGCCAACACACACATCACACATATGACACTGTTGTCTACTTGGTAACCAGTGCATTAGCTTTTAAAATAGCTAAATTATGTTTTTGAGATGGAAATGACTCCATAACCTTTCTGCTCTGGGTGTTTATTGACATGAGCACCGGGTACAATGTGTCTCATGATGATCAAATTAGTTAGCAGATTTCCATGTGATGGGAAATAGCCATTTTTGAGCACCTGATGGAGTTTTGGTTCCTTGCCACTGTTGCCTTGCTTTTGGCTTGCTTAGTTTAATGTTCAACAACATTAGTTATCTGTGTTGTTATCTGTGTTACGTGTTATCACTGTGAAGCTGCTTTGATACAATCTGTATTGTAAAAAGCACTATATAAATAAATGTGACTTGACTTGACTTGACTCAACCTCATCACATCTGGTTGAAGGTCAACACTGCAAACGTGCTTGCTGACATTTACATGATCTCTGAAGGGCTCCGTTTCATGTAGAACATGTTGGAGAAAATCTATCCATGTCGTAACAGCATCGGCACATCCTCTCACAGCGGGAAAGGATCCCTCATGTCTGTATGTGAAACCCATCTGCTGCATGATGACTCATTGAAATGTTTTGTTCATGCAGCGTTCTTCATGTAGACATCCATCTGTGTATTTATCGGATTTAAAGTCTCTTAGAAAACTAGTTTACATATATGCTGGTTGAAGAATGTGAACATTTATCACAGTTCACCCAATATCTTATAGATTTGAATCAATTTTAGAATGTGGATGAATTTCTTTTTTTGGTGGAACGTGAAAAAATATATGTTGTTCAATAAAAAAACATCAATAAAATGATGTTATTTGGACCCCTATGTTCTTCAAAACGTGTTCTGATGAAGAAAGAATTGCTGTAAAACTGTTTTAAAAAAGCTTTTAATAAAAACATTTTAGTTTAGCCATGTTCTAGGGATGGGCAACGATTAATCGCGATTAATCGCATCCAAAATAAAAGTTTGTGTTTACATAATATATGTGTGTGTAGTGTGTATAATGAATTTGTATATCCACACATGCATGTATATATTTAAGAAAAATGTGTTATTAATAAATCTAATATTTATATTTATATATAATATTAATTGTGAATAAATATATATAAAATATATACATGCACATATTTCTTAAATATATACATTCATGTGTGGGTATTTATATACACAAATTAATTATACACACTACACAAACATATATTATGTACCCCCCCCTAAAAAAAAAAAGGCGAGAAAGAAATTATTTATGCGAATATATAACACTTTAACGACTTTCTTCGGCACATTTCCTTCATAAATTAAATTCAACTATGTTGTCCTCAGTGGCTCAGATGCCCAAAGTCTATTGAGACTCTTAAGTTGTTGGTACATCCAAAAACAGAACATTTTTCATGTTTTTTTGGTGCTTTCATTGTAAATCTCCAGCTGCTACAGCAATAGCGGACTGTTGTGGCTCAATCAGGGTGTGATTTAAGCTAACAGGGCACATCATCACCAGTCATGGAAATCTGGAACCGCTTGTTTGGACCCACTGTGTGTGGTTTATGGGTACTATTTTTTAACATCATAGGCTGGTTGCACTTTTATTTTATTTTTTTTAATATGTTTTGTTCTGTATTTCTATTTAGCTTTAATTTATTTTTACTTCGCTATTTTAGTCAGTTTTGTATTTCAACAGGCATAAGGCAACATTTCTAATTGTCGTTTTCTAAGTTTAACTTTTCATGTACTATTAATATTTTATTTTTTTTTTTTTGTATCCATCGCCATTACTTTTCTCCACTGATGGTCATAAATATGGCGGATGATCTAAAAAAAAAATGCATGTGACTTATGAATTGATGAACTGCACTTTAAGATGTTTTTTATGTATTAACGCTGTTAATCGTGAGACATATAATTAGTGGTGTGAGAGAAGAGTGCTCAGACTCTGGCCTTGAATCTCTCCTCCTCTGGCCAGATAAATTGGGTTACGAGGAGCCGATTTAAACTGCAGGCTGACCGCACACACAGCGGCCAGAAACATGAAGGACCTTTCAGTGAGACACATGCTCCACTTCTGAAAGCTTTATGAACCTTGACTTTCTAACAAACCTTGAAGATACTTTCGGATGGCGTTTTCATGTATAATTTACCAGAATCGAAAAATCACATTAATTCTTAATTCTCTAAATATGAAAAAGAGGCATTTGTAATGTTTCAGAACACCACATATCAAAGCCCCATTAAATGTCAGCTTGTACCAAAGATGAGATTTACAACAAATTGTTTACACATCTATACATACTGCGACTCGATATTAAAGGAATATTCTATCACAAGCTTCTGTTGCAAACATATGTCGGCATACCTGTCTCTCGTTGACTGCCTGTCCGACTATGCGTTATGATGGGTCGTTCGCAATTCATGAGCGTTAGCCGATAATGATGATGGGTGGTTCGCGGAGGAGCGTAGGTGATGATGGATCGACTCGTTCGCGAATGAGCTTTTGATGGGTCGTTCGCGATTCGCGAATGAGCCGACTCTTTTATTTGAACGTCGGGAGCTGGCTCGCATATCTGAAGAGCCGACTCTATTTTTACAAATTTAGCCTATAGAAATTTACGGAGCCCCTCTAGTCCCACTTTGGTAAAAAAAATTAATTATAACTATCTTGTGGCCTCAAGATAGTAACTCGTGGCCTCAAGATAGTAACTCGTGGCCACAAGATACTAACTCGTGGCCACAAGATAGTAACTCGTGGCCTCAAGATAGTAACTCGTGGCCACAAGATACTAACTCGTGGCCTTGTGGCCACGAGTTAGTATCTTGAGGCCACGAGTTACTATCTTGAGGCCACGAGTTAGTATCTTAGGGCCACGAGTTACTATCTTGAGGCCACGAGTTACTATCTTGAGGCCACGAGTTACTATCTTGTGGCCACGAGTTACTATCTTGAGGCCACGAGTTACTATCTTGTGGCCACGAGTTACTATCTTGAGGCCACGAGTTACTATCTTGAGGCCACGAGTTACTATCTTGTGGCCACGAGTTACTATCTTGTGGCCACGAGTTAGTATCTTGAGGCCACGAGTTACTATCTTGTGGCCACGAGTTACTATCTTGAGGCCACGAGTTACTATCTTGTGGCCACGAGTTAGTATCTTGTGGCCACGAGTTACTATCTTGAGGCCACGAGTTACTATCTTGTGGCCACAAGTTACTATCTTGAGGCCACGAGTTACTATCTTGAGGCCACGAGTTACTATCTTGTGGCCACGAGTTAGTATCTTGTGGCCACAAGTTACTATCTTGTGGCCACGAGTTAGTATCTTGAGGCCACGAGTTACTATCTTGTGGCCACGAGTTACTATCTTGTGGCCACGAGTTACTATCTTGAGGCCACGAGTTACTATCTTGTGGCCACGAGTTACTATCTTGTGGCCACGAGTTAGTATCTTGTGGCCACGAGTTACTATCTTGTGGCCACGAGTTACTATCTTGTGGCCACGAGTTAGTATCTTGAGGCCACGAGTTACTATCTTGTGGCCACGAGTTACTATCTTGTGGCCACGAGTTACTATCTTGAGGCCACGAGTTACTATCTTGTGGCCACGAGTTACTATCTTGAGGCCACGAGTTAGTATCTTGAGGCCACGAGTTACTATCTTGAGGCCACGAGTTAGTATCTTGAGGCCACGAGTTACTATCTTGAGGCCACGAGTTAGTATCTTGTGGCCACGAGTTAGTATCTTGTGGCCACGAGTTACTATCTTGTGGCCACGAGTTACTATCTTGTGGCCACGAGTTAGTATCTTGAGGCCACGAGTTACTATCTTGTGGCCACGAGTTACTATCTTGTGGCCACGAGTTACTATCTTGAGGCCACGAGTTACTATCTTGTGGCCACGAGTTACTATCTTGAGGCCACGAGTTAGTATCTTGAGGCCACGAGTTACTATCTTGAGGCCACGAGTTAGTATCTTGAGGCCACGAGTTACTATCTTGAGGCCACGAGTTAGTATCTTGAGGCCACGAGTTACTATCTTGAGGCCACGAGTTACTATCTTGAGGCCACGAGTTACTATCTTGAGGCCACGAGTTACTATCTTGTGGCCACGAGTTAGTATCTTGAGGCCACGAGTTACTATCTTGAGGCCACAAGATAGTTATAATTAATTTTTTTTACCAAAGTGGGACTAGAGGGGCTCCGTAGAAATTAAATAATTATATAATAAAAAGTGAAATATTATAGTCAAAGTCATTTAAAGAGCCGTTTGTGAGCCAAAAGAGCCGGCTCCTTTCAGAGCTGAGTCAAAAGAGCCGAATGCTCATCACTACTATGCGTGCTTTAGAACACCCGCCCAACTCTACCTCTGATTGGCTTACAGTGACAGTTTACTCTACCTCAGCCAATCGTCAGCATTTATGCGCTTGTCTCGTGCTTAATGGAAGAACAGTAAAAAAGTGTGCCTCTCGCTCAGAGATCTAGTTGGTCTGATGGAAAAAAAAAACAGCTTCATCAGTTGTTATAGTAACGGGACGCGTTGTTGAGATGAGAAGAGTAATCAATTAGATTACTCGTTACTGGAAAAAGTAATGCCGTTAGTATTTTATAACGCCGTTATTCCCATCACTGCATATGAATGACTGCATTTTTTTTGTTATGTACTGTCTGTGTAGAAATATTTCAAACGTATGTTTTTCTGTTTCTGTTTTATTCAGAGAGGTGTGATGAGGTGTTGGCTTCACCCCTTCCCTACAGCGCCTTCACCAGCTCCTCTGTGTTGGCGGCTGATTTTGGCGCTGGCTATGCAAAACTCAACAGGAGAGTAGGTGAGGAAGAGCGTAATGAATATTATAAACACTTATGTTCAAAAGTTTGGGGAAAGAAGTCTCATGCACAACACAACAAGGCTGCATTATTCTGTCAATATTATTACTGTTTCAAACAACTGTTTTCTATGCGATATAGGCCTATATATTTTAAAATGTAATTTATTCATTTTCATCATAATTACTCCAGTCTTCAGTGTCACAGGATCCTTCAGAAATGATTCTAATATGCTGTTTTGATGCTCAAGAAATATTTTTGATTATAATCAGTGTTATTCTTAAAACTTAATAATTTTTTATCGGGATTCTTTGATGAATAGAAAAATCAATAGATCAGCATTTTGTTTTAAAATATAAATCTTTTGTAACATTATAAATGTCTTTACTGTCACCTTTGATTAAATGTAATGTCCTTGCTGAAAAAAAGTATTAATTTCTTTCAAATATTAAAAAATGAATCTTCTGAATGGTAGAGTACAGTATGTGAAACTGTATGCAGTGATAAATCCTTCAAACACTATTGTTAGCACATGAAGTAGTTGTCCATTTATAATGAAAATGAAATACAGTTAATGTGCATGCAAAATGTTAGCATAAATTTGCATTTTGATTCAATTTTGTCTTAACTCTTGTTTTGGCGGTATAAATAATGAGTCACAATTTTAAAAACCACGGCTTTAATCACTTCCAAGTTCATTCATCACACTGGAAATGTCATTTGCATTGCATTGTGGGATACACATTCTGTATAGTAGCATTAGGTGATCTGACTGGTCATAGTATGGCTGAATGTCACTCTCATGTCCGCCGTGTCTCTCTCCTCATTGGTTGATGTTCAGACAGAGATGTGCTGCAGATAAAGCATAAAGATTGATTGCATAATAGACAAAACATCTCTGTAGGTCATACCTTTAATGCACATTCTGGCTGCCGTTAAGGAAGTATAGTGTTGATGGAGGATTATGAGGACTATCACATCATAATTCAAGCTTGGCAGCATGTGCTGTTTTCTCACATTGTACTTTGTCTTTCATAGGCAATGGAGGATGGTCACCGTTAGACTCCGACAGGTACCAGTGGCTACAGGTGGACCTCAGGGCCAGGAAACAGATCAATGCCATAGCAACACAGGGCAGATACAGCAGCTCTGATTGGACGAAACACTACAGGCTCTTCTACAGCGACACGGGAAACAACTGGAAGCCGTATCGGCAGGACAGCAACATATGGGTGAGTTTGTACTGATTTATAGCTCAGGGAGTACATATTGTTTTTGGGTTACCAAATCTGAGAATAACAGCTGCTGCTGTGTTGTTCAAAACTCACATGACCCACAAAAGTTTCAAAAAAAGTGAAACTTTTCCTCTTATCGTCACCGTTATGTACTGTTAGTTACTGTGGATATTCCATGAACTTTTCCGTTTCTATGGTTACCTTACCATTATCATTAGTTCATATGTGTCAGCTGTGTGATTAATTATCCTTGTTTGTGTTCCTACTTAAGTTGTTCCTTCACCTGCACTCTTGGTCCGTTATTGTCTGTGCACAAGCACACTACAGTATCTCGCATGTTGGCTGTCTATTTGAATCTATTTAAATAAACCCTGTGTTATATTATTTTCATCTTCATTGGACCTCAAAGGAGTAGTTCACTTTAAAAAAAAACGTTTTGCTGATAATTTACTCACCCCCATGTCATCCAAGATGTCCACGTCTTTCTTTCTTCAGTCGAAAAGAAATTAAGGTTTTTGATGAAAACATTCCAGGATTTTCTCCATATAATGGACTTCAAAGGGAACCAAACGGTTCAAGGTCCAAAAGACACTTTCAGTGCAAACTGCAAACTTTTCAAAGGACTTTAAACGATTTCAGACGATGAATAAGGGTCTTATCAAGCGAAACGATTATAAAACTTATAAAACGAGATTATAAAACTTATGGTCGCCTTGCTCTGTACTGTGATGCGCGTACTCTCCTGTTCGAAATCGTTCAACAAAATGAACACATTTTTTCCTGAGTCAATTCGTTGAATGAACCAAATGACTCGTAAAAAGATTCATTCATTTTGATGAACGAGTTCGAACAGGAGAGTCACGAACGTGCGCCACAGAACAGAGCAAGGCGAGCATTTGAGCTTATAAAACTTAAACTTTGTTATTTATTAAATGAGCGATCGTTTCGCTTGATAAGACCCTTATTCATCGCCTGGAATCGTTTAAAGTCCTTTGAACAGTTTGCAGTTTGTACTGAAAGTGTCATTTGGACCTTGAACTGTTTGGTTCCCATTGAAGTCCATTATATGGAGAAAAATCCTGGAATGTTTTCATCAAAAACCTTAATTTCTTTTCGACTGAAGAAAGAAAGACATGGACATCTTGGACGGCATGGGGGTGAGTAAATTATCAGCAAGTTTTTTCAAAAGTGAACTACTAACAGAGCGAGCAGTAATGGTGTGTCTGACTCACAGAAGGAGGTTCTCTCAATGATTTTTTTTATAAAGTATTGACTTTTTTCTGCCGCAGACGTTTTCAGGTAACTGGAACTCAGAACGGGCTGTGCGGCACGAACTTCAGCACCCTTTCGTGGCTCGATACGTGCGTTTCATCCCGCTGGACTGGAGTGAAGAGGGGAGAATTGGTCTGAGGGTGGAGCTCTATGGCTGCGCTTACTGTGAGTGATGTCATAGTGGTCATTTTTGAACCTCTTTGCGCAATTTTATTGAGACAAATATAGTTGCATCAATATTCATGTATCAAGAATAGGCTCTTTATTGTGACTGGTCTTCCTGGGCTTGTTGTTGAGTTCTCAAAGTCAGAGTATACATAATACACACTGAATGTTTATTTCAAGATCAAGGAATATTATGTATAATCATTCATGATACAGCCTCTTTAAAATCTAAAATGTTCAGTTTCACCATGCATAATCAACTTGGTTTGATGTGAGACAATATGAGAAAAGACTTCATGTGTTTGTTTGAGACTGATCCATATTTCTGCGTCCAGGGGCGGACGTGATCAGCTTTGACGGCCAGGGAGTGATTTCCTATCGATTCAGACAGAAAAAGATGAAGATCTTAAAGGATGTGATATCATTGAAATTTAAGACCACCAAAGGAGACGGCATTCTGCTTCACGGAGAGGGACAACAGGGCGATTATATCACTCTAGAGCTACGCCGAGCAGAACTGCTCCTACAGATCAACCTGGGTAATGGATTTGACTAAAAAAATTCTGATTTTGAACTGATCAACACTGATGATAGAAAGAAATGTTTCCTGAGCAGCAAATCAGCATATTAGAATGATTTTTGAAGATACTAAATATTAGATTAAGATATAAAACTTAAAGCAGTAGTTCACTTTAAAAAAAAACTTTTGCTGATAATTTACTCACCCCCATGTCATCCAAGATGTCCATGTGTTTCTTTCTTCAGTCGAGAAGAAATTAAGGTTTTTGATGAAAACATTCCAGGATTTTCTCTATATAATGGACTTTAATGGGAACCAAACGGTTCAAGGTCCAAATGAGAGTTTTAGTGCAGCTTCAAAGGGCTTTAAACGACACCAGACGATGAATAAGGGTCTTATCAAGCGAAACGATCAGCCATTTAAAAAATAAACAAAAAAGTTTAAGTTTTATAAGCACAAATTCTCGTCTTGCTCTGTTCTGTGATGAGCGTTCGTGACTCTCCTGTTCGAACTCGTTCATCAAAATGAACAAATCTTACTAATCTTACTACAAATCTAAGGGTACTAGATATGACCCTTATTCATCATCCGGTGTCGTTTAAAGCCCTTTGAACAGTTTGTACTGAAACTGTCTTTTGGACCCTGAACCGTTTGGTTCCCATTGAAGTCCATTATATGGAGAAAATGCTGGAATGTTTTCATCAAAAACCTTCATTTCTTTTCGACTGAAGAAAGAAAGACATGGACATCTTGGATAACATGGGGGTGAGTAAATTATCAGCAGAAGTTTTTTTTAAAAGTGAACTACTTTAAAAAAAGTTTTTATAATATTTAACTATTACTGTTTTTACTGTATTTTTGATCAAATAAATGCAGCCTTGATAAAGACTTCTTTGATTAACAAACTTTTGAACTTTCTGTTTTATTCTATGATTGGCAGCATGCCAACACTACTGTTTTAAGTATTAAAAAAAAATTGTCTACCCGGTTTGACCCGTTTCATTAATGGCGTTTGATGTTTGTGTCTATTTCAGGCAGTAATCAGTACGGCTCCATTCAGGGTCACACATCAGTGTCTAGCGGCAGCCTGTTGGATGACGACCACTGGCACTCGGTTCAGATCGAACGCTACAGACGCAGCGTCAACTTCACAGTCGACCAGCACACGCAGAGCTTCCGCACCAACGGAGAGTTTGACCACCTGGACCTGGACTACGAAGTACATGTTTTGTTTTGTTATGTGTTAAAATAAATATATACTGTATGTTTTGAAATGTTATGTTTTTGGTTTATTCATAGTTAATATTATTCATCATTATATTATAGGATCCTTTTTTTACATTTTCAACTTTCTTTAGTGTGTAATGTTGCTGTTTGAGCATGAAAAAGCTCTGAAAATGTATTGTATCTCCATTGTAGCCATGATTTTCTTCCGGTGTTCTGACAATTCATGCTACCCATCAAGACTTCCTACTTACCGGTTATGCGCATGTGCAGACTCACAGTTTTTTTTTGTTTTGTTTTTTTACATTTTTTTACAAAAGGTACATTTTCCTGTTATAATGTATAATTTCCCTTTAAAAAATGCTTACTACCGTATGAATATTTGTACGGTCAGCCAGCTGAAAAGGAATAACTGAAAGTTTCAGTTACTATAAGAAAAGGTGTACTTTGACAAGTCAAAGATGAATATTTTATGATAATTTTTACTTTTCACACCGTTTTAAAAATAAAAACAGTAGTCTACAGTATACAGTACTCATAACTTAGAATTGTATTAGAATTGTATTTCATACGACTTTAATCGGCATTCTGTGATCAATTCGCGCTACGGTAGCATTTTTCGACAAGGCAGCAAAAATCGACAGAACACCGGGAATGAACACGTCATAATATTCCTCATTTAAATAATTCCCGCCAAAAGCATATGCATAAGCATAAAATAAAGGGGCGAGGCCTTGTTGAGTTAGTTATAAGTGTGTTAAAACTTGCAGTTTTGGTAAGGGGTGTGACATTTCCCAAACACACTCGAAGTGCTTGACCAATCAAAACACACTGGTCCAGCCGACCAATCAGAGCACATTGTGCTTTTCAGAAGGAGGGGCTTTATACAGACAGGAACTAAACTGAGCGTTACTGACAGACTGGGAATAGAGGTGCTGCAACAATGTGGAAAATACGAAAAATAATGTTTTTTGAACATTCAAGCATGACCCCAAAAACAAAATGGACTCAAATATTACAAGGGCAAATGCATTTTAAAATAAACAATAATGTTCACAGATAGATCATTTATGATAAATTCTACAGTATTCCAAAACAAACAAGAATTGTAGATTTTGATTTCATGGGGACTTTAAGGCAGAATTTCTGAATTGAAAACAGTAAACTATGCCTTTAAGATCACATAAAAGCCATGAACACTATTATATATTAGCATATTATATAATAATCTCTCATGGTCCATTTACGCCTCTCATCCGCTCTGTTTAATCATTTTACCCCAATGCTACCGGGAACTGGGTCTTTAGCACACATATTATTTCGTTCACTGTGTGGCATTTATTCAAACAGATAAGATTAGATAAGATTAATGTTTTGCTGTCGGTATTATAGATGGTAAATGTTTCCCTCACTTTCACTGCACTTCGATGTCTATTCCCAGATTACATTTGGAGGGATGCCAGTGTCTGCCAAGCCCAGCTCAGGAGCCAGAGAAAACTACATCGGCTGCATGGAGGCCATTCATTACAACGGGGACAACATCACTAACCTCGCACGCAGGAGAAAAGTGGACACCTCCAGCTTTGTACGTGCCACATTTACATGTCTATTTTTATCGAATGAACACTGCAGAACTCTCCAATGTCTGGTGGAGATAATTCAGTGGCTGTTCAGAGGAATGGCCGTTATTAGGTATTACGTTATTCTAAATTTGATTCCCCCATTGTCAATATATATATATATATATATATATATATATATATATTTTTTTTTTACAGCTACCAGGACTGTCAATATATTCATTATTCATTTATTATTAAATTAAATTCTTGGTTACACTTTATTATTTTAGGGTCCAATTCTCACTATAAACTATTAACTATGAATTTTGGATCAATACATTTCTAATCAGTGCTTATAAATAGTAGTAAGGTAGTTGTTAAGTTTAGGTATTTGGTTGGAATAAGGGATGGAGAATATGTTCATGCAGAATAAGGCATTAATATGTGGTTTATAAGTACTAATAAACAGCCAATTTGCTAGTATAATGCATGCTAATTAGCAATATACAATTGTTCATAGTGAGAATTGGGCCCTAAACTAAAGTATTACCAAATTCTTTAATAATTCAATAATCTTGAAAACCAATGCTCAAATTTTGTTTTGTTATTACTTCTGATTACAATTTTCTAGAAATAAGAAACGACCCCGTTTACTTTCTTAATCCAGATTTTAGGCCTTCTGTTGTTTTTTTCGATGATTGCTCTAATTCGATTCTTTGTATTGTTTACAGTAATCTCAGCTCCCAAAGGTTTGCGGCTTTTATATCTCACATCAAATATTCAATAGAGACAGTTCCTCTCCCTGCACTAACCTCAGTCATAAACAGAGATCTCCTTCCCTTTCCCACAACGCTCTGTGTGTGAGGACAGACGTGAAGTGCGAAGTGCTGTCACTGTGTGTGTTCTGTGATTATTCACAATGACTACATAATGACTGCCGGTTATTGTCCACAGTCCCTTTCTGTGCTGGAAAATCTAGGTCGTGCCAGTTTAAGGTGATTGAATGGAGTTTTGAAACATGGTAGCTGGTTTTCCCGGTCCAAAGTGGTCTGCCTATCTTAAAAAGCTTGTCCTGACCAACAACCATGTAGACCAGTGTGGACTAGCTAGAAACATCGCAAAACCAGCTATCCCCTTAAACAGGTTTTAGATGGATTTTCCAGTATGGTCCTGATGTGAACTATCCAGGTTTCCTGATTAAACCTCCCTCTTACTATGACCAAATTAATCTTTCCTCTTAAATTCTGCTGTAAAGTTTGTGATCATTCCCGCAGTGCTGTGTGTTAAACCCCTTAGAAATGTTCATTTTTATGTGTGCTGTTCCCATTCCAGCAAAACCTGACGTTCTCTTGCACGGAATCGCGCACGTTCCCTGCCTTTTTTAACTCCACCAGCTCCTTGCAGCTTCCGGGTCGGACTGACGCAGACACCGTGTCGGTCAGACTTCAGTTTCGGACATGGAATCCCAGCGGTCTGCTGTTCTTTACTCCACTCATGCCTGGAGGGGTGGAGGTCAGCCTGGTGGAGGGTAAAGTTACTGTTCACATGTACGTCGCACTGGGCAAGAATACACGTGTGGACATATCCTCAGGTAACATTACAACTGAAAACGCACACTGAGAGCTCTCTCAATCTCTAGACTTTCTTTAGTTTCAGCTTCCACTTATATTTTATTTCCTTGGCATCCCTATAGCAACACATCCATAACACTGTAGCAACATATAACAACGCATTTAAAACACTAAGAACACATCAACATCCCTGTAGCAACACCTTAGCAGCTATTTAGAACATCTTAGCATCCACATAGCAACACCTTGGCAACCACCCAGAGAACCCTAGAATTTGCAAAGCAGCATTAAAGCAACCTATCAAAATACCATAGCAACACTTTAACACATTCAGAAGCTCTAGCATTCCGGTGGCAACACCATATCAGCTTTTTAAAACACCTTAGCATCTGCATAGCAACACCTCGGCAACCACCCAAAACACTCTAGAAACTGCATAGCAGCATGATACCAACAATTAAAACACCATAGCAAAACACTAAAAACACCCAGTACCTTTAGCATACCTGAATCAACACCAGAGCAGCCTTTAAAACACCTTAGCATCTGCATAGCAACACCTTGACAACCACCCAAAATACCCTAGAAACTACATAGCAGCATGATAGCAACAATTAAAACACCATAGCAAAACACTAAAAACACTCAGTACCTCTAGCATCCCTGAATCAACACCAAAGCAGCCATTTAAAACACCTTAGGATCTGCATAGAAACACCTTGACAACCACCCAAAACACTCTAGAAACTACATAGCAGCATGATATCAACAATTAAAACACCATAGCAAAACACTAAAAACACTCAGTACCTCTAGCATCCCTAAATCAACACCAGAGCAGCCATTTAAAACACCTTAGGATCTGCATAGCAACACCTTGGCAACCACCCAAAACACCCTAGAAACTGCATAGTAGCATGATAGCAACCATTTAAAACACTATAAAACACTATTAAACACTCAGAACCTCTTTTATCCCCGGAGAAATACCATAGTAGCCTTTTAAAACACCTTAGCATATGCATAGCAACACCTTGGCAACCACCCAGAACACCCTAGAAACTACATAGCAGCATGATATCTACAATTAAAACACCATAGCAAAACACTAAAAACACTCAGTACCTCTAGCATCCCTGAATCAACACCAGAGCAGTCATTTAAAACACCTTAGCATCTGCATAGCAACACCTTGACAACCACCCAAAACATCCTTGAAACTGCATAGTAGCATGATAGCAACCATTTAAAACACTATAGAAACACTCTAAAAACACTCAGAACCTCTTTTTTCCCCGTAGCAATACCATAGTAGCCTTTAAAACACCTTAGCATCTGCATAGCAACACCTTGACAACCACCCAAAACATCCTTGAAACTGCATAGTAGCATGATAGCAACCATTTAAAACACCATAGAAACACTCTAAAACACTCAGAACCTCTATTATCCCCGTAGCAATACCATAGCAGCCTTTAAAACACCTTAGCATCTGCATAGCAACACCTTGACAACCAACCAAAACATACTTGAAACTGCATAGTAGCATGATAGCAACCATTTAAAACACTATAGAAACACTCTAAAAACACTCAGAACCTCTTTTATCCCCGGAGCAATACCATAGTAGCCTTTTAAAACACCTTAGCATATGCATAGCAACGCCTTGGCCACCACCCAGTACAATCAGAACTTCTTAGTATCCCTGTAGCAACACCCTAGCAGCCATTTAAGACACCTTACTTATCACATATCAACATCTCACCAACCCATCAATGTACTGACCAGAGAAACATGGAGAAAAAACACACATACACTTTAAGAGTCTGACTTTCGCTCATGGAGGTAAACCATTTGCCTGTGCAGGTTCTGGTCTTAATGATGGACAATGGCACAGCGTTCACTTCCTGGCACTGGAGAGCATTGCCATGTTGACCATTAATGGAGACGAGATGTCCACAGTGAGAGCTGCCCTCCCCATTCAGATCAGGACTGGAGGAGATTATTTTTTCGGAGGTAATCGTAGGACACACCTCTCTCTTTTGTATGTCAAATGTTATATTATAATAATGTATTGTCGGTATCTTATTGGGAACACTTGATCTGCTTTGCATGACTGCGCATCTGAGATAACAGGTTTTGATTTCCTTGTTTGCCATGTGCAGGATACTTCCCGCGGACTGACCTTTCTCCATCACAGCGCTCCTTTCAGGGCTGCATGCAACTCATACATGTCGACGAACAGTTGGTCGACTTGCAATCTGTGGAGCAAGGCATGCTGGGTAGCTTTGAGAACGTCAGTCTGGATATGTGTGCCATTATAGACAGGTAATTGATTTTTAGTATAGACATGCACTGATGGAGAAACCCCGATGTAAATTTGCATAACCACTCAAACTATTTTACAGATTTATGCATATTCTGCTTTGTAAAAGTCAAAACAGACTCTCATCACAGCCTTGCTTTTCATATGGTGATAAAGTCAATCCCCACGTACCCATCCATATTAATTCATGGATCCGCTGCACTGCACTCTCAGAGATGACTCTGCAAACAAATGTAGAACAGATGTTTGCCTTTGATCGCAATGTTCTGATCAAAGTTTTTAGATTTTTTTTTTTTGTTCAGTCTCTCCAAAAAGACATTTCTAGAGTTGTACCATTGATTGCTTTATTAGAGTCATGAGGACTTTCAGAGCTGTGAAGCCTCTTTGAGAAAGTTATGTAAGCCACGTCTAACTCAAACTCTGTCCCCATTTGATCAAAATCGATGATCAGGATCTTTAGCAGACAGGACTTAAAGGAGTAGTTCACTTTTAAAAAAACTTTTGCTGATAATTTACTCACCCCCATGTCATTCAAGATGTCCATGTCTTTCTTTCTTCAGTTGAAAAGAAATTAAAGGGTTAGTTCACCCAAAAATGAAAATTCTGTCAGTATTTACTCACCCTCATGTTGTTCCAACCCCGTAAGACCTTCGTTCATCTTCGGAACACAAATTAAGATATTTAAGATATTAAGATCGCTCCTGCATACAGTCCATAGGCTTCTTGAGGGACTGGCTCTTGCTGTCCTCGAAAAGTCATTAAAGACATCGTTAAAATAGTCCAAGTGACTACAGTGGCTCAATCTTAAGTTTATCAAACGACGAGAACACTTTTTGTGCACAAAAACAACAAAAATAACGACTTTATTTCAACTATTCGTTTATTTCTCCCTCTGCGCGAGTCAGGTTACTAGTTTAATAGCGTAAGCTTCTGTTATTGTACGTCACACGCATCACACACACATGACCAGCGTCGGCCAATAGTGAGCCTACGTGTGACGTAGCTCTACGCAATCACACTACGTTAACTGACTACAGGCTCATGGAGAAGGAAGTGAATAGTTGAAATAAAGTCGTTATTTTTGTTGTTTTTTTGCACACAAAAGTGTTCTCGTCGTTTGATAAACTTAAGATTGAGCCCCTGTAGTCACTTGGACTATTTTAACGATGTCTTTAATGACTTTTCGGGGACAGCAAGAGCCAGTACCTCAAGAAGCCTATGGACTGTATGCAGGAGCGATCTTAATATCTTAAATATCTTAATTTGTGTTCCGAAGATGAACGAAGGTCTTACGGGGTTGGAACAACATGAGGGTGAGTAAATACTGACACAATTTTCATTTTTGGGTGAACTAACCCTTTAAGGTTTTTGATGAAAACATTCCAGGATTTTTCTCCATATAATGGACTTCAATGGGAACCAAACGTTTCAGTGCAGCTTCAAAGGGCTTTAAACGACTCCAGACGATGAATATGGGTCTTATCTAGTGAAACGATCGCTCATTTAAAAAAATAAATAAAAAAGTTTAAGTTTTATGAGCTCAAATGCTCACCTTGCTCTGTTCTGTGATGAGCGTTTGTGACTCTCCTGTTCGAACTCGTTCATCAAAATGAACAAATCTTTTTTTGAGTCATGACTCGAAGGGTCGCTAGATAAGACCCTTATTCATCATATGGAGTCGTTTAAAGCCCTTTGAAGCTGCACTGAAAGTGTCTTTTGGACCTTGAACCATTTGGTTCCCATTGAAGTCCATTATATGGAGAAAATCCTGGAATGTTTTCATCAAAAACCTTAATTTCTTCTCGACTGAAGAAAGAAAGACATGGGCATCTTGGATGACATGGGGGTGAGTAAATCATCAGCAAAAGTTTTTTTAAAAGTGAACTACTCCTTTAAGGACTGTAAAAATGAGGCTTTATAGAGATACAAAGAACTTTACAGTGTCTTTAATCTCTCGCTGTCTCTCTTTCTCTCCAGGTGTGTGCCAAACCACTGTGAACATGGAGGAAAGTGCTCTCAAACTGGAAACACCTTTAAATGTGCATGTGAAGGCACTGGATACTCTGGTGCCACCTGCCACAACTGTAAGCCATCTCAAATCATATTGGCCACTTTTATTTGAGCTTATTTTGACTTGTTTATTACAAACTGCTGCTATGTTGCACAACAGGACCAAATAGACTCAAACAATGCTATAAAATGTTATAAGGTCATTCTTCATTTGTGGTGGCAAGTGGTGTCCCTTTACTTTACAACAGTTAAAATGAACTTTAAATACCAATAAATTATAAAATGTTTTCATTTTTTGTATTCTGTTGGATAAACACAATTTGTGTACTATTAATAGATCATTTTTAGTTTTAAAATACAAACCCAATTCCATAAAAGTTGGGACACTGTACAAATTGTGAATAAAAACAGAATGCAATGATGTGGAAGTTTCAAATTTCAATATTATATTTAGAATACAACATAGATGACATATCAAATGTTGAAAGTGAGACATTTTGAATTGCCATGCCAAATATTGGCTCCTTTTGGATTTCATGAGAGCTACAAATTCCAAAAAAGTTGGGACAGGTAGCAATAAGAGGCCAGAAAAGTTAAATGTACATATAAGGAACAGCTGGAGGACCAATTTGCAACTTATTAGGTCAATTGGCAACATGATTGGGTATAAAAAGAGCCTCTCAGAGTGGCAGTGTCTCTCAGAAGTCAAGATGGGCAGAGGGTCACCAATTCCCCCAATGCTGAGGCAAAAAATAGTGGAGCAATATCAGAAAGGAGTTTCTCAGAGAAAAATTGCAAAGAGTTTGAAGTTATCATCATCAACAGTGCATAATATCATCCAAAGATTCAGAGAATCTGGAACAATCTCTGTGCATAAGGGTCAAAGCCGGAAAACCATACTGAATGCCCGTGAGCTTCGGGCCCTTAGACGGCACTGCATCACACACAGGAATGCTACTGTAATGGAAATCGCAACATGGGCTCAAGAATACTTCCAGAAAACATTGTCAGTGAACACAATCCACCGTGCCATTCACCGTTGCCGGCTAAAACTCTATAGGTCAAAAAAGAAGCCATATCTAAACGGGAACCAGAAGCGCAGGCGTTTTCTCTGGGCCAAGGCTCATTTAAAGTGGACTCTAGCAAAGTGGAAAACTGTTCTGTGGTCAGACGAATCAAAATTTGAAGTTCTTTTTGGAAAACTGGGACGCCATGTCATCCGGACTAAAGAGGACAAGGACAACCCAAGTTGTTATCAGCGCTCAGTTCAGAAGCCTGCATCTCTGATGGTATGGGGTTGCATGAGTGCGTGTGGCATGGGCAGCTTACACATCTGGAAAGGCACCATCAATGCTGAAAGGTATATCCAAGTTCTAGAACAACATATGCTCCCATCCAGACATCGTCTCTTTCAGGGAAGACCTTGTATTTTCCAACAAGACAATGCCAAACCACATACTGCATCAATTACAACATCATGGCTGTGTAGAAGAAGGATCCGGGTACTGAAATGGCCAGCCTGCAGTCCAGATCTTTCACCCATAGAAAACATTTGGCGCATCATAAAGAGGAAGATGCAACAAAGAAGACCTAAGACAGTTGAGCAGCTAGAAGCCTTTATTAGACAAGAATGGGACAACATTCCTATTCCTAAACTTGAGCAACTTGTCTCCTCAGTCCCCAGACGTTTGCAGACTGTTATTAAAAGAAGAGGGGATGCCACACAGTGGTAAAAATGGCCTTGTCCCAACTTTTTTGAGATGTGTTGATGCCATGAATTTTAAAATCAACTTATTTTTCCCTTAAAATTATGCATTTTCTCAGTTTAAACATTTGATATGTCATCTGTGTTGTATTCTAAATATAAATTTGAAATTTGAAACTTCCACATCATTGCATTCTGTTTTTATTCAAAATTTGTACAGTGTCCCAACTTTTATGGAATTCGGTTTGTACATATTTAATTGAGTTTGAGAGATTGCATTTTTGACAAAATATGTACCTTCCCACCATATCTCAGAGAGATATTATGGAATTTAATTACAACAATATAACATTTTTAACCAAAAAAAGTGGTTAAATTATGAATATAGTTTTTATTGATTGCGAAGGAGACCATTTTGAGCTCCACAAAGAACTTCTCATTCTTTAGAAAACCATCAGTGTACTGGTGTCCTAAAGAGCACATAAACTAATAAACTTATCTGAAGAACCTTAATGAATCATCATAATGATCTTTTGTAATCTTACAGTAAAAATTTCATTATTGAACCTTACAATGCATGCAAATAACCTTTAGAGAATAGACATTTTTGCTTTGGAATTGTCAGATGCTAGTATATTTATTTTATTTTGTATTTATTTAGCTGACTGGTTCTCAGAAATGAAGCATTGTAGATTTTTTTTTTGTGCCGTGGTGGCCGTTTTGATGCTTACGCTGTGTGTTTCTGCAGCTGTGTACGAGCAGTCATGTGAGGAGTACAAACACTTGGGCCGAAGCTCAGACACATACTGGATCGATCCAGACGGCAGCGGACCCCTTAAGCCATTCAGAGTCACCTGCAATATGATGGGTCAGAACCACCAAACACATATGAAATTCACTGATGTAAACAAGCTAACGGGTGGCTAGACTAGCATTTCAGTTTGTCTGTATTTAACTGGATTAGGGTCTTGTGATAAACAATAGAAAAAAATTGATATAGTATGTATATAAATTTATATATATCAATATATCAATTTATATATATACTATATCAATATATATATATATCAATATATGAAGAGTTCAGATGCAAAAGCCTCTAAATGCCATTTGAAATTTTCTTCTAAAATGACCATTTTTATTAAGCTTGTATATTTAAGTTCAGTAATTTCACTTAAAAGACAATTAATGGGTAATCTTCATTGCCATTTAAGTGAAATTATTGAACTTAAGTATACAAGCTTGATAAAAATGATCATTTTAGAAGAAAATTTCAAATGGCATTTAGAGGCTTTTGCATCTGAACTCTTCATATATATCAATATATATATATATATATATATATATATATATATATATTAAAGTTTATATCATAAAGTGTATATATAATCAAAAAAATATTGATATAGTGTATATATATATATATATATATATATATATTAAAGTTTATATCATAAAGTGTATATACGTATAATACCTTTATATACAAATATATTTAAATACTTTTAAAACAAAACAGAATATCAGCAGGATCATGTGAAGCACACACATCTTAAGTTCAGTTAAAATATTCATATCATGTGTTAATTATATTCATTGTCATAACAATCACCCACATTTACACATCAGTGACCTTTGGTACCATAAATGACTAAATGATGACAGTTTTTGGTGCAAGAAGCCTTAACTAACAGTATAACATGTATTACACATTTAACAATAAATACATCCAGTTATTTCTAACAAAAAAAAAACAAAAAAAATCTATAATTGAATGCTCACTTAGTGTGTATGTGTGTATTTCAGAAGACAAGGTGTGGACAACCATTGTGAATGACCTTCCAGCTCAGAGTTCAGTGGCAGCCGGTTCAGGACCTGAAGACAAGACTGTGCTCACGCTCAATTACAGCATGTCTGTTGAACAGGTGAGGCTTAAACCAGTGTGAATTGAACAATTAACGCGGTTATATCTGAACAACGGATGCTGAAAATGGTCCTAACAACTGCTCATGTTTTTGTGGTTCAGATGAACGCCGTGACCAGCAGCGCTGAGCTCTGTGAGCAGAACGTGGCGTACATGTGCTACAAATCCCACCTGCTCAACACGCCAGGTAAATGGATGTGGTAAAAACGAACAACTTCAAGGGGAAAGTTTAATCGCTCAAAGTTTGAGGCTTTCCTTTTCCCCGTGTTTTAGACGGTTCTCCGTCCACGTGGTGGGTCGGCAGGGGGAACGAGAAGCACCTCTACTGGGGCGGCTCAGGTCCTGGCGTGCAGAAATGTGCCTGTGGCATTGAACGCAACTGCACAGATCCCAGATACTACTGCAACTGTGATGCGGATCTGAGACAATGGTGAGGTCTTAGTCTATTCTCGTTTTGGTCAGGGAAACGTCTTACACGATTAGATGGCATTCAGAAGAAGACAAACCTGGTGGCCCTTTACTGTTAAATTGAATGTTTTTTTGGAATTGCATTCTACCATATTACTTTTTTGCTAATTATTTTGTTATAGAATACAGTTTGCAATACAGTATTTTTGCAATATGCAACATTGTACTCTGTCGCTCAAAAGTTAAAAGATGTTTTGATGTTTTCTCTTATGCTCATCAAGGCTGCATTTATTTGATAAAAATATAAATACAGTAAAACCGGTGATATTGTGAGATATTATTACAATTTAAAATATAAACATTTTTAAAATATTGCCGAATGCTAATTATTCCTGTGAGGCAAAGCTGATTTTCAGCATCATTACTCTAGTCTTCAGTGTCACATGATCCTCCAGAAATCATTCTAATATGCTGATTTGCTGCTCAAGAAACATGATTATTATTGAAAACAGTTTTATCTGGAAACCGTGATACATTTCATGGTTATTTGATGAATAGAAAGTTGAAAAGAACAGCATTTATTTGTAATAGAAATCTTCTATAACAATATAAATGTCTTTTCTTTTACTTTTGATCAATTGAATGCATCCATGTTGAATAAATATATTCTTTCAAACATATCTCTTTCAAAACAAATCTAACTTAACTGTAGTGTATATTGTGCACATTTTCTATATGCATGATAGATTCTGCATCTCCAATGCAATCTGCTCAACTTCACCTTTAATAAACAACAACTGTTTTTGATATGTCCTCCTTGAATCACTGAATTAAAAGGAAATTTGGGCCAAATCCCAAATATCCATATTTATGTGTCGAATAGAAGAATGCCTTTGGCTGAATTAAACTAATGAAATTAAGTAATTATTTTTTTAAAGCAGTACTATGCCGTAAGCAGTACACTACAACCCAGTTTGAACATATCCCATGTCTGCTGTATTGCACAATGCTATATTGCCCCCTTGTGGTCCATAATTCTTCCTCTGCCTGTGTTTGTTTCTCCAGGAAAGAGGATTCAGGTGTGTTGATGTACAAGGACCATCTGCCTGTCAGTCAGGTAGTGGTCGGCGATTTACACCGCTCTGGATCCGAAGCCAAACTCACTGTTGGGCCGCTCCGCTGCCAAGGAGATCGTAAGTGGGGTCATCCTCTCAAATGTAGAAGCTACAACATGCTACGTACTGTGGTTTAGCCAAGCAGGATGTGTTCTTGGTCCAATCACAGAGACAAATACAGACCTATCCACTAAACGAATTATAAAGTACCTTTAAAATTGATGAGAAGTGATACGTTAATTAGCATCAAAATATTAAAGGAGTTGTTCACTTTTAAAAAAACTTTTGCTGATAATTTACTCACCCCCATGTCATCCAAGATATCCATGTCTTTCTTTCTTCAGTCGAAAAGAAATTAAGGTTTTTGATGAAAACATTCCAGGATTTTTCTCCATATAATGGACTTCAATGGGAACCAAACAGTTCAAGGTCCAAAAGACCTTGAGTGCTAACTGCAAACTGTTCAAAGGGCTTTAAACGATTCCAGACGATGAATAAGGGTCTTATCAAGCGTTATTTAAAAAAAAATAATTACAAAGTTTAAGTTTTATAAGCACAAATGGTCGCCTTGCTCTGTTCTGTGATGCGTGACTCTCCTATTTGAACTCGTTCATCAAAATGAACGAATCTTTTTCCGAGTCAACTCGTTCATTTCGTTCGTTGAATGAACCAAATGACACGAAAAAAGATTCGTTCATTTTAACAAACGAGTTCGAACAGGAGAGTCACAAACGCACGCCACAGAACAGAGCAAGGCGAGCATTTGAGCTTATAAAACTTAAACGTTGTTATTTATTTATTAAATGAGCGATCGTTTCGCTTGACAAGACCCTTATTCATCACCTGGAATCGTTTAAAGCCCTTTGAACAGTTTGCAGTTTGTACTGAAAGTGTCTTTTGGACCTTGAACCGTTTGGTTCCCATTGAAGTCCATTATATGGAGAAAAATGCTGGAATGTTTTCATCAAAAACCTTAATTTCTTTTCGACTCTAGAAAGAATGACATGGACATCTTGGATGACATGGGGGTGAGTAAATTATCAGCAAAAGTTTTTTTTAAAAGTGAACTACTCCTTTAAGGACCTATCAGTCTGAACCATTTAGAGTTTCCTGACAGAACTTTGTATTTTTTTAACATTCAAGCATGAAAATCTTTTCTAGTAAACCCCAAAAATAGTTGTCGGTGTGTTTCTTTTATAGGTCACTACTGGAACGCAGCGTCATTCAACACACCTACATCTTGTCTTCATTTTCCCACGTTCAAAGCCGAGACCAGCGCAGACGTTTCCTTCTATTTTAAGACTTCAGCCTCACATGGTGTCTTTCTGGAAAACCTGGGAAATCCTGATTTCATTCGCTTGGAACTCAAATGTAAGCTTGCATGTAGAGGACCACATCTTTTTAGCTCCTCATCTTGAGGAGGGTTGTTGTAAATCACTGTTATCTTCCCTTCAGAGGAAGTGAGATACTATACTATTATAGTATTTATTCATATTTTGAATTGGCTTTTATTTTCCTTGAGTTTTAGTCATTTTGTTGATCTTTTGTCCTTTTTATTCTTTTTTTTTTTCAGTAATTTTTATTTTATTTCAGCTTTATTTCAATTACCCCAAAACCGTTTTGAATAGTTTCAGTTTAATTAACGAGAACAACACTGCTTTCCACAGCTGCCACGGTGGTGTCGTTCTCATTTGATGTGGGCAACGGGCCTGTGGAGTTAATCGTGCGCTCATCTACACCCCTCAATGATGACCAGTGGCACAGGGTGGAGGCGGAGCGTAATATCAAGGAGGCTGTTCTGCGATTGGACAAGCTGCACAGGGAGGCGCGGTCAGCCCCGCATCAGGGCCACACACGCCTGCAGCTCTTCAGTCAGCTGTTTGTAGGTGAGATCTCCTGCAGATGATCCTAATTACTATCATGATAATATTGTATAAGTTGTGAAACACAACGCAAACTTTTCTATTAAAACATTTTGTACACACAAGTAGAATTTTGTACTTGAAATTGTGCATTAAAAAGTGTACAAAAATCAATCTTAAAGTTTTCTGGGGAAATAGAAATAAACATTTAGAAACTGATACTCAAGAAACTACTAATTCAGAAAAAAAAAATATAATATAATATATATAATAATATTTATGATATAATAATAATAATAAGTCAGTTTGTCTCCAGATAAAATAATAAACATAAATAAATTATAAATAAATTAACAAAATAATAATAAAAGTAGGACTGGGCAACGATTAATCGCGATTAATCGCATCAAAAATAAAAGTTTGTGTTTACATAATATATGTGTGCGTAGTGTGTATAATTATTTTGCATATATAAATATACACCCATGCATGTGTATATTTAAGAAGAATGTGTTCTTAATATATCAAATATTTATTTATACACATAATATTAATTATGTATAAATATATATAAAGTATATACATGCAAATATTTCTTAAATGTATACATGCATGTGTGTGTATTTATGTATACAAAATAATTATACACACTACACACAAATATATTACGTAAACACAAACTTTTATTTTGGATGCGATTAATCGCAATAAATCATTGCCCAGCCCTAAAAAAAAGTACATTTGTCTCCCGAATATCTCATTAAAACAATTCAAAAAGTATTAGTTAATATTTATTTTAAGTGCACTTATCAGTGGGGAATCATGAAATCTTTGTACCCTTTTAAATGTACAATATTTGTTGCAAGCATAAATATATATATATATATATATATTAGGGCTGTGCAAAAGTTAATTGCGATTAATCGCATCCAAAATAAAAGTCTGTGTTTACATAATATATTTGTGTGTGCTGTATATAATTATTTTGTATATATAAATACCTATGCATGCATGTATATATTTAAGAATTATTTGCGGTTAAATTCTGTATATATTTATAAATACATAATCTATATTATATAAATATAAATATTTTATATATGAATAACATATTTTCTTAAATATATACATGCATGTGTGTGTATTTATATATACAAAATAATTATATACAGCAGACACAAATATATTATGTAAACAGAGACTTTTATTTTGGATGCGATTAATCGTAATTAACTTTTGCACAGCCCTAATATATATATATACATACACACACACACACACACATTCGTAATATATGTATATATATTAATGAATTTTAAAGAGATGTTTTTGTTCTCTTAATAGCGTATGTCTTATGAAATTCATAAAAAAATTACTCCAGAAAGAAACAAATTATAAAACAGTGTTACAATATTTTTTGTTTGTTTGTTTTTATTATTTAATGGCTAATATCTCGTTATATCGGTGTTGCCATTACACTTTAGGAGCCTCAGGGGGGCAGAGAGGAATTCTAGGTTGCATTCGTTCCCTAAAGGTCAACGGGGTGACGCTTGACCTTGAGGGGAGGGCAAAGGTCACACCAGGGGTGAAGCCTGGATGCTCGGGTCACTGCAGCAGCTATAGAACGCATTGCCAGAACGGAGGGAAATGTATCGAGAAATACAACGGATACTCATGCGACTGCAGTCTGACCGCCTTCGACGGGCCTTTCTGCAATGATGGTATGGGCCATTATTTTAGTAGGTAGATAAGTCAGTATTGTTTTGGCTGTAACATAATGAGCGACTAAATATTTAAACCCATAAATATCACCTTTAAGGAGTACATTAGAACTGAATGATATCAAAGCTAACAGACATGGACTACCAGTTTTGCTTTGTTCTTATGGTTCTAGATGTCGGTGGGTACTTTGAGAGTGGGACGCTGGTGCGGTACGACCTCATGTCAGAGAGCAGCTCTTCTCCTGCAGTTAAAGAAGGCGAGGGCGGAGTCCTAAGCACAGTGGGTAATCTGACCCGTGAGGAGCTGAGCTTTAGTTTCAGTACGTCCCACACGCCTGCCGTCCTCATCTACATCAGCTCTAAGACGCAGGACTACCTGGCCGTGGTGCTGCGGCAAAATGGTGAGACTGTTCGCATGTTTAGAGCTCAGATTTAACGCTTTTTCACACTGAGTTTCGTTTTTCTATACCACCAACCTGGGAAAAAGAATATTTCACTCTTGTAATTTATGCTGCATTCATGTGCTATGGAAAATAGGATGTTTTCACTTGTGAACTGGTATTTACCAGTGTGTTGCGTTCAAGTGCTTTTGTTGTCGTAATGTGGTAAAAAGATGGAGATCCAGACCTATTATTTAGCTAAAACTATTTTAGATTGCGTAAGTCATCTGCAACAGCAAGAAAATGATTTATCAAAACTCAAAAGGTAAATAATATGCTGTATATTTTCTAGATCATGAATAGTATATATATATATTTTTTACCATTCACGACTCTCGCGGTGCTCTCCACCATTTAAATGGTCAAAGGTTATTTCCTCTTGGCAACTCGTCCATCAAAATATTCTACGAATACCACATATCAGGGGGTGTTCATGTGCATTTTCCACGTCGGCTTTTGGTATTTAACATAATTACCATAGCACATGAACGCAGCATTAGACGCGGGGTTAGCACCAAGGGGGTAATCCATTGACCGCAAGTTGAAGCCGCCATCTTGTAGCAGAACTTCACTTGAGTTAGCATTTCCATTGACTCCCATTATTTGGGCGTCACTTTGACAGCGAATAACTTTACATCTGAGGCGTTTCAAGACTCCATTTGTCCATTATTTATTTCTAAAGAAACACGACAATGTATAAAATGCTCCATTACCTTGTAGCTTATGTTATGGCCTCGTAGAAGCAGTTTTTTGTAAAAATAGGCTAACAATTGCGTCTGCGTGTCAGGAACGGAAGTCCTAAAAAATCACTAAAAATGGGCTTCACTTGTCTCAATTGAGCTCCATTGAGATGGCTCTGTACACTTCTTATACTGTCTATGGTTAGCACTAGTTTTGCATCGTTAAAGGGATAGTTCACCCAAAAATTTAAATTCAGTCAGTATTTACTCACCCTCATGTTGTTCCAACCCCGTAAGACCTTCATTCATCTTCGGAACATGAATTAAGATATTTTGGATGAAATCTGAGAGCTGGATCACTCCTCCATAGGCTTCTTGAGGGATTGAAACTTGCCGGCCTCGAAAAGTTATTATCGACAAGTGACTACAGTGGCTCAATCTTGAGTTTATCAAGCGACGAGAATACACTTTGAGCGCAAAAACAAACAAACAAAAAAAAACGACTATTTCAACTATTTCCTTTTCTGTGGGCTTTTAGTCATTTAACATAGCGTAGAGCTATGTCACACGTAGGCTTACTATTGGCCGACGCTGGTCATGTGTGTGATGCGTGTGACGTACAACAGCAAAAGCTTATGCTGTTACCACAGCGAAGGACATGAATAGTTGAAATAAAGTCGTTATTTTTGTGGGTTTTTTTGCTCACAAAAAATATTCTTGTCGCTTGGTAATAAAATATGTTTATACATAAAATGTTGTTTATTTAAAAAAAAAATTTTGTCGCAAAATGAACCTTTGGTCTAATAACACATTGATACCTAGTCAACCGTTCTCTGAGATTTGTTTTCATGATAATCGAATGTAAAGAGTTTTATCTCTAAAAACGAAATAAAAATAAAATAAATTAAAAATAAAAATCGCTAACAAGGCTCAAAATAGCCCCACACTAGCACAGTAACATAATGAGGTTTCCTCAAGCATTGAGAACTTTTTAGAAAGACAGTCCACTTCACGTATACAGGCAGGAGCCATCTTTGGAAAACAGTCTCGACCAGTCAAACCACGAACCGATGGTACTAATGTGTTATTAGACCAAAGGTTCATTTTGCACCGGAGTTGTCCTTTAACGATAATAACCATGCTTGGGAGCGCTTAACATTGATGAACCATTGATTGTGTTTTCCCTCAGGTACTCTACAGATCCGCTATAACCTGGGGGGATTGAGGGAGCCGTTCTCGATCGGCCTGAATCATCGTAACATGGCTAACGGTCAGCCTCATAACGTTAACATCAGCCGACAGGACAGGCTCATTCAACTGCAGGTACTGTATCGCTCTCAGGAGAGACACTAAATAAAGATCAATCTGCTGTGTTATTAGTGAATAATCACTGTTACAATTCACTGGATTAATGAGTCTTAATATGTGTTGAAGGTGGATCATTATCCCACAGTAGACTACGCTCTTCCTGATGCCTCAGATACAGAATTTAACCTCGTGAAGACAATTTTCCTAGGAAAAGTTTTTGGTAAGCATTAGTTATTTGTGGTTTTTAATTTGGAATGTGTGTGTAAGCGTGACTTGTTCTGACTTGTAAGGTCAAGTGCGAATTTCAATGTCATTACAAAGCTGGGAAGAGCCAGGATATTATTTAATATTATATCTCCGATTGTGTTCGGCTAAACGTAGAAAGTCATACGCCTAGAGTGGCTTGAGGGTGAGTAAATTATTGGATCATTTTCATTTTTGGGTGAACTATTCACTCTAAAAATACTAGTGTTATGATTAGGGAAGGATGAAGCGGAGAGGGAATCCAAATGAAAGCACTTTAATAATCCACCAAACAAATAAAACAGGATAAACTCAGAACAGGGAACTCAAAACAGCATAAGATTAAACAACGACGACACCCAACAACTGAAGCACAGAGGTTTAAATACACAGACAAACAAGCTAAACAAGGGAACAAGGGGGCGTGGCAAATCAGAAACACCTGGGGAAACTAATCAACAAGAAAAACTACAAAGGACTACAAAACATGGCACGGAACAGGAAATAACTAAAGTCCACACAGGACAAGGAAAACACAAGACAGGAATTGTGACAACTGGGTTGTTTTAACCCAAATTTGAGTCAAATATGGACAAACTCAACATTTTTTTATTAAACTTTTAACCCAATGTTTGAGTTTGTCGATATTAGACCCACAATTGGTCACATTTTTTAGAGTGTTTATTTAAAATGCGCTTATTGCAAGCATGAATTGTCTCTTTTGAAGAAAATACGTTTTAATTGAATTGGCCCCAACCCACAATGTTTATTCTGGTATTCTGTGAAACAAAGTCTTCAACACTGGTCCATAAAAAGATTAAATACATGATTAAATATACTGATATACTCTAGAAATAGAAATTGCATTTTAAAGAGATCTAATTTTCTTGTCTATATTGACAAATTCATTCATTCATTTGTATTTTTGATTAGGAATTTGGTTTCAAAATAACACGGCTGAAGTCCCATAGCGTCCATCAATGTCATTATTACCCACAGAGTCTTTGGATGCATGTCTTTTCATGCTCTTCCTTTGACTGGACTCTCTGTTGGTCCTGACATCATCATGTGAAGCTCCGGGTTTTGCTCCTGGTCTAAATCCAGTCTCCGGGTTTTCCTGCAGACCTTTCTTAACAGAAATGAGCTGGAAGTCTCTGAGCTGCATTATACACACACATAGAGAGAGAGCAGCTGAGTGTGATGGGTCTACATCTACAGCTCAGGAATATTGTTTAAAAGCTATTTCAGATTAAACAGAAGAAAATCTAGAATTTGCTAGTCACGTTTACGCATAGGCAGATTGAGAAAGAGACGAGCAGAAAGAAGAAATCAGCCGTTTAGCTTAAAGTCGCAAGACCTGCTGTATGCTGGGAATACGACATACGCAGTTCAACATCTATAATCTGTGATCGCAAACAGGTACCATGCTGATAAGATGTGTTATATTTGAGATATTAGCTTTTTTTCCTCTGCATTGAAATGAAGACTTGATGAAGGTGGGTAGCTTTGTAATAAAATCTGAGGATAAAGGACAGAACAGGTGTAAAGTCCAGATTCAGAAAGTAAAAAAAAATCCTCCTTAGTATTTTGTTCCAATCTGGATTTGCTAATCAGCGCAGTCTTTCTGCCAGGAGATACTATATTGAAATCAGTTCATGGGTGGACTAAACATATAGCAGGACTTTTACTTTCTGACCCTTAGGACTGTGCTTCTGCTTTTCTCTTTTCATACAGTATATATATAAAAATGCAGCAAATGTAAATGTTAAAAAACATATTTTTGGTTTCTGTTGGTGTCACGTATTGTTTCAGTCTGGTCTAGTTTTGTAGAAAAAAATGGTTTTAAGTTGTCCAAGTTACAGTGTAATTAACTATACATTAAATACTGAGTAATATTAATTAACTACATGTAATTACTATAGGGTTAGGGTAGGATTATGGTTTAGTTGCATGGAATTATGCATAATTTACTATTATTACTATAATAAGTACATGTAACATGTACAAAAAAAAGCAATAAGCCATGATATACTGCATTAGTTATTTTAGAATGATTTAATGAGACTTTAGACAATCCACCTTTTCTTATGTTGTTAAGCCTTTATTGCTTATATAAAATATTGACAGCAGAAATGTGATTACTGATGCAATCTAAATTATAATGTTCGGACAATCCTGCTCAAACATCAGTATTTTCATTTCTTTATTAAAGAAATTGATAGTTTTATTCAGCAAGGATGCAATAGATATAGATATTTATATTGTTACAAAAGCTTTCTATTTCAAATAAATGCTGTTCTTTGGACCTTTCTATTCATCCTAAAGAAAATGGGTCATAGTTTCCACAAAAACATTAACATTGATAATAATCATGTTTCTTGAGCAGCCAATCATCATATTAGAATGATTTCTGAAGGATCATGTGACACTAAAGACTGAAGTAAAACATTTCAGTTGCTCATCCAATCAGATTTTAGACACCCATCCTATAACCTTTATTATTGCTTCAGCAGAAATGTTTTATCCAGCTGCTGTTGGCTTTGTCTTTCAGAAACGGGTCAGATTGATCCGGTGTTGATAGAGCGATATAACACCCCGGGATTCGTGGGCTGTCTCTCCAGAGTGCAGTTCAACCGCATCGCCCCGCTGAAGGCCGCCCTGAGGACCGTCCTGCCCTCCACAGCCTCCGTACAGGGAGTCCTGGTGGAGTCCAACTGCGGGGCGTCTCCTCTCACAGTGCCGCCCATGTCGTCAGCCTTTGACCCCTGGCACCCAGATTCAGGTAACCGAATCATGATTAAAAAAAATTATTTTCCTCCTAAATCTTTTTAACATTACAATGAAACATTGTATTGGAAAGGGAGTTATTGAGGAAAGAAGTTCCACATCATGTTTTACTCTTGAGGAGGAAACGAATTTCTATAGAATTCTGTAGAATGTATCTGTTATGGAGAGATCTTTCCTGACTGCCTTGAAGAAATCTCATTTTTAGTAGAAGAAATCTGTGATCTCTTCCCTGTAGAGAGGATTACTGAAGTGTGTGTGTGTGTCTGCATTGGATTTGTTGCCAGTCATACTAAAACCTGAAATCACTCACACTTTAATGTTGAAAAGTAGGGCTGGGCAAAAAAATCGATGTTTCGATTAATCGTTTTTTAAAATGTGTTCGATTCAAAATCGATTCTCAACGGCCGGAATCGATTTTTTCCATAAAGGGCTCGCGGACGCGGTGCTGCATCTTCTCGTCTCTCTGCACTAGGCAAGCGCTGCAGCTGTCGATACACACACGCCTTCAGGAGTCGGGACATGACGGAATATTCACTTAACAATCGGGCCTGCATTGCATCGTAACCTATAATCGTAACTAACGTTTATCATTTTCACGTCTTTTTGAGTTTTACAAGCAATGTTAAACCATCCCGTGCTCGCGCACTCTCAGAGATGTCTTTCACTGCATGCACAGTACAGCCTAAATCTGCCTCACAAACAGCTCGCCAGAAACAAACGTTTTATCCCTGGATTATATCACAGTTAAAACACGCGACATTATGTCAAAACTCTGGTCTTGGTGAGTAACCTCGTAAAGACAGTCGGTAATGTCTTAAATTAGCATTAAACGCGTGTGACAGAAAGTTAATGAAACAGTAATGGATTCGCACACTAGTTCTTAAAGTGAACGCAGCCATTTGTGTCAGTCATTAATTCTGTTGTCATAACAACAGAATATAGTATTAAATGTAAGCAATCAGAATTAATAGCCTTTGTATTTAATTCAGTCTGGACTAAAAAGACTATCCAGTGTTATTTTACATTGGATTACTTTATTCAGTTTCTGTAGTATTTCTGACATACCCAAAAAACTACCCCAAAATGTCTCTTAATTTGTGTCTTTATTCTATTGTATTTATTTGTGCTACTTTTTTCAATTTAATTCAAAGATTGAAATCAAGCTTCCATACATAAACTCTTAAAACAAAAATACAAAAAATTACATTACCATTTAGGTAAGATCAATGTAAAAAATGTCTAAATATTTATATATTTATTTATCTATATCTATCTTAAACATAAAATAACCTGATCCTGTTTGATCAAGCTGTGCGACTGTTCTGACTTTTTTTGCATATTGCATCAAAATCCTGTTTATTCTTTGTATGCATTTAGTGTACCTAAAATAAAAAGAGTTTTATATACAGGTTTATGGCTCTTAATTTCCTTGTATTAATTAACCACTAGTAAACTTATGTCCACTGTTCTTTTTTATAAATATAGGATTTGTATTACATCTTCATTATAGTCGAATCGAGAATCAAATCAGGAATCGAAATCGAAAATTGAATCGAGAATCGAAATCGAATCGAACTGAGAGCTTGTGAATCGAAATCGAATCGAAATTGAAATGTGAATCGATACCCAGCCCTATTGAAAAGCATCATAAGGTTTGTGTGATTTATTTTTTATGTCATTAGCTCAGTATAAAAACAATAAAGATGATGGAAAGTGCCCATCATGATAGAAAAACAAATGTGTTTGTTTGCGTGAGGATGTGTGTGGATGCATGAAATTGAGTTTGAAAAAAGCATTTAGTCTTTAGTTGTATTTTTCATCTTGAGTTCATAATTCTGATATTTTGTATAATCTGTGTTACATCCCAAATGTATTCCCCACATGCAGTTAGTTCTTGGTTATATTATTAGTTTCTTAGTTTTTATTATTAGTACCCCTAGAAATAATTATAATAATAAATACATTATAATGAATAATTATTATTGTTATTGCATTCAAATAATTTCAGTTAGTTCTTAGTTATATTATTAGTTTCTTAGTTTTTATTATAAGTACCCCTAGTTATAAGTAAAGAAATAATTATAATAATAAATACACTATAATAAATAATTATTATTGTTCTTGCATTCAAATGATTTAATTTGGTCAGTTTATTATTGTAATTGATTAAATGTATAAATAATATACGATTCAAATAAAATGATAAATATTAGTAAAATAGTCATTTTAATTATTTAAATATAGTGTTTTTAATCCTAATTTTAATCATGCACTATTTTATTTTATTTATTTAGCATTTTATGCCTTATTATGCACAGCTGAACCTCAAATGCATGGCAATATGAATTCACAGTTTTTATTTTTTAATATACGTAGATTGCAATGGTGAGAGAGGCGAGGAGCAATCTTGTTTTTTTAAAGTAATAATTACTTTTAGATGGAGCATTTTTGTGTGTGTGTGTGTGTGTGTGTATGCTTGCACTCATGACAGTAAGTATAGCTTGAGCTTTCATGGATATTTATGGAACATGTCGTTTTGAGCCTGTGGAGACGGCAGATGAAAAGAGCAGACGGTTCGTCTCAGATCCGCTCCCCTGCCAACAACACCCGGGAGAAAACACTCAAAGATTCACTCATCTGCCCACCAGATTAACACACTGACCGTCTGTGCTTCATGTATGCCAACACATTATTTGAAGGGGATTGTAAATGTTTAAGTCAGAAAACTGTGCTCTTTTCACAAAAGTTTTTCTCTTCCATCAAGCCGGTGCGCAGTCTCCATTCAACGAGGAGCAAGTTAGCCGTGATGGTGTCAACAGAGACTCTGCAATAATTGGAGGTAAAACTACTGTTGTAGTGTTATACTGTCACACGCTTTTATTTAAGTGTACACAACAATACAGAGCACTTGCGGTGTGTGTTATCAGCACTAACCCAGCTAACAGGAATGTTCTGAAAGTTATGAACACACATTCTTCCATGAGTTTGTTCAACGTTATCTGGTCTTTAATAATGTTCCAAAACATGATCTACACCTTTCATTTAAGTTTTTTTTAAATGCTTTTAGTTGGATGTTCGTCTAACATTTTTAACTGTTTAGAATGTTCAGAGAACTTTCAAAAGTATCAAACCCAGAATATTTGCAAAATGGAATGTTCCCTTAAAGGGATAGTTCACTTTGAAATAAATTTTTGGTATGTTTTAGCTTACCTTTCAATTTTGATATTTTTAGGTCAAACCGTTCTTGTCTGTCAGTCATATAATGGAGGTCTATGGTCACCACCTCAAATAGCATGCACAGAGAAGTCCAAATTAAACATGATTTAATGACTCGTAAATGTAAGTACACATTGATGGCCTATAAGACAAGAAACAAGCACCCGCGCCCTCAGATCACTTGGATGTGTCTGTGGTTGCAAGAGGTAAAAACGATATAAATACTGTTCGTTTTCTCACACAAACCGCTCGTTTCGTGTCTTAGGCCATCAATGTGTACGTACATTTACGAGTCATTAAATCATGTTTAACTTGGACTTGTCTGTGCATGCTCTTTGAGGTGGTGACCATAGACCTCCATTATATGACTGACAGACAAGAACGGTTTGACCTGAAAATTTAAAAAGTGAAACTACTGTGGAAACAAAGACACCTACATCTTGGATGCCCTTGAGGTCAGCTAAAACATATTAAAAATTACTTTCAAAGTGAACTATCCCTTTAATATCTGCATAATTAAGAAAAAACGCTTATAGAGTTTAAAAAAAACTGGATATAGTGAGAGCATTCAATAATAATGTTTTCATAACTTAATAGAAACATTTGCAAAACCTTCTTAGAACATATTTGTGCTAGCGAGAAACTTTTCGGGGATTGCGCTCTCATGCTAATTTGCCCTGTTTAGTAAATCCGGCCCTGATTTTGTAAGACGGTCCCAGAAAAACAAGAGTAGAGTTAGAGTTTTATAGAATACTATATACAAAATGTAATATTTTTTATAAGTTGGATAGTATAAAATGTTTGTATTTTATTGTATTGTTTGTTGAATAGTAATAGCCTGTGAAGATGATACAACCCATCAACCAGCTTATGTGTAATATAATATACACGTATATGTGACTTCATGTGCTTCCTTGTGTAGATTATATTTCATATGCTTTGACATCTTATCATTGGTGTACAAATTGATTTTAACGGCGATTTATCATAACAATCGTGGTTTTCTCGTAGGCATCATCGCAGTGGTGATTTTCACCATCCTCTGCACGCTGGTGTTTGTGGTTCGTCACATGTTCCGTCACAAGGGCTCCTACCACACAAACGAGGCCAAGGGGGCGGAGTCTGCCGACTGCGCTGATGCTGCCATCATCATCAATGACCCCGCCTTCACAGAGACCATCGACGAGAGCAAGAAAGAGTGGTTTATTTAGCCTCGTTCTCTGACAGGATACCCCGAGGGCAAGAGTTTTTTCAGTAGCCGACGTGAAATGGACACTTGGCAAGTCTGTGCACTGACTGGCATGTCTGTTCTGTAATTATTTTGTATGTGAGCAAGTACAGCACAAGGACTTCTGTAAGATCAAATTCATCCCATGCACTCATTTAAAAAACGACAACAACTGCTGCATTTTTATCATTGCAATACTGGTTAACAAATGCATTCGATGTGTGTTCAGCAAACACGAATGCACCAGATACTCCAATAGCACAAAAATGGAATGTGTACAGAATGCACAATTATGTTTCCGATAATGACATTTGATTGTATTTAACATTTTGTCGTCAGCATCTTCAGGACAATAATATATTGTAGCATGGTCATCAGCCAATGGCATTTCTGAATCATTCATCAATGTTGATGCAGCACTTTTGTATCTCATTGAAAATGTTCTTTATAGTTATCAGAATTCAGTGTTATTTATCTGTTTCTCCATAAGTGCTTGTTCAACCTCTGGAAAACATGATAGGCAGTTTAGAGGGTTTTGTAAGGAGAATGCTCTTTAAAGGGATAGTTCACTTTGAAGTTAATTTTTGGTATGTTTTAGCTTACCTCAAGGGCATCCAAGATGTGGGTGTCTTTGTTTCCACAGTATTTTCATTTTTTTTAGATTTTTAGGTCAAACCGTTTTTGTCTGTCAGTCATATAATGGAGGTCTATGGTCACCACCTCAAATAGCATGCACAGAGACGTCCAAATTAAACATGATTTAATGACTCGTAAATGTAAGTACACATTGACGGTCTAAGACACGAAACGAGTGGTTTGTGTGAGAAAATGAACAGTATTTATATTGTTTTTACCTTACCACAGCCACAGATTACTTGGACGTGGCTGTGGTTATAAGAGGTAAAAACGATATAGATACTGTTCATTTTCTCACACAAACCGCTCGTTTCGTGTCTTAGGCCATCAGTGTGTACTTACATTTACGAGTCATTAAATCATGTTTAATCTGGACTTCTCTGTGCATGCTCTTTGAGGTGGTGACCATAGACCTCCATTATATGACTGACAGACAAGAACGGTTTGACCTGAAAATATCAAAATTGAAACTACTGCGGAAACAAAGACACCTACATCTTGGATGCCCTTGAGGTAAGCTAAAACATATCAAAAATTAATTTCAAAGTGAACTATCCCTTTAAATCATGAAAGCTCTAGACAGTTTTAGTTCAGATGTGTTCAGTAGTGAAAGATTATGAATGGTTCATTTGCTCCAATGTCTTTTAATGTGCCTCAAAGGGTCATGGTTTCTTCTGGCCAAGCATGGATTTTGAGACAGATCGGATGGCACTTACATGTTAATATAGACGAAAGATTAATTTTGTGTGTGTGTTTGCAGTTTAATGCACTGCTTATTTGAAATCAGCCGCAGCAGCACAAATTTATGTACAAACCATTTTTAATATCGTCTTTGTTGTGCTTGGTTAAGTCATTTTTATTTCTTAACTATGCCTGAATTAGGCAATGGAGCATTTCTGTATTTCTGGCAATTTAATAACATGGTGTCATAGGAGTGGTCATGTGAATCCACTAACAAGAGTATTATTCAACCATCAGATAGATTACAAAACCTTGTTTGTTATAAAGCACTAAAATAATGTTGCTTTCTGTACGTTTTGAGTTGTTTCCTTATTTAATGTGTATGAAATGGTCTACATGCATTACCACATTGTTTGCTCTTTTAAATGAACACAAATGCATATTTATTAAGGTTTGTCTGTGGTGTCATGTCAAAATTACATTGCTATTTTATTATAACGTAATGCGATCATTTGTTCTGTTGTTTTTTTTTTTTTTTTTTTTTGAAAATGATCATAAGATGATGCTCTTGAGATGTTGAGGGTTGTAAAGAAACTGACTCTCCAATAATGAACTCATTGCAACTCTCAATAAACTACTGGACTGTTTTTGGAACAAAAAATACATGATTTTTTTATGCAGTACAATACAGTTTATTATATAGTCCTTCCATCAGGAATTTATTGTGTTGTTAATGATTATTATCATTATAGTCCATGTTATTCTGAAAAGGGACAAATACTTACTTTTTATAATTGTATTTCTTTCCATCTAAAATCTGCTTATAATGTTAGTCAAGATATCTTGCACCAAATTGCTTTGTTTCAGTAAATGGTCTAGAAAAAGAAAAAGTTGCTGCCTTACATTTTTAAGTACAATCAACTTGGATGTATAAGTCAAATTACATTAAACTGACCTTTTAACTGATCGTTGAATCGTGTATAACTTTGCTTAACTTATTTTGATCAAAACATATGTTGTCATAACTTCTGGATCATATAATTCTACATTTTATGTAATTTTACACTGTGGGTGGAAGTTTTGATTTCACAACATTTGAGTCTGTCTACATCAAACTTTTTGTTAGGATCCTTTCAAAAATGTACTGTGGTGGTATGGTAAACGTATGATTTCAGACAATGGTACTTTGATAGATGTAATATATGATCACCATACAGGCTGATATCATTCATAATGCGTGAACTCATTAAAGTGGAAAAAAAAGAACAAGTATAGACCATTTCACAAGATGTAAACAAAACTGGTCCAGAAACACTTCCTGTTTCAGTTTGTAACTGTTTTCTTTATTTCACATGTAAAGAAAACATCTTACAGATGTTTGTTTAACTTTTTGATTCAGTTTTAAATGTTCTGTTGGTTGTATTTTATTCCAGCTTTTATGTAGTGTTAAAAAACTGAAACAGGAAGTGCTTCTGGACCAGTGTTGTTTACATCTTGTGAAATGGTCTATAAATTAAAAGCAATTTTCAAATGAAATGCTATACTAATGACCAAATGGATGGCAAAATGAGATAAATTTTAGGTATATTTTATATATTTTGCTGAATTTACCTCAGTAAAATATACTGAGGTAGCCTAGCATATTTTAATAATGCTCTGATTTAATACATGTTTTGAGTTGTCGCTGTGCACTGATTTATGTCCTGTGAGATTTAACTACTTATTAGAGAGTGTTTGAACCCATATGTGCGGTCAAAGTACATAATAATCAGTTATTCATATAATTATTATTATTGCACAATTGGTATGACACGGGAAAAACTATCAAGGAATCTTCGACCATAGCCGCTGTTTCCGACCGGCGCGCACGCTGACGGAGTGTGTCTCTGTTTCCGGAGGGACAGTGTTTCCGTGAGCACGCGCTGACGGAGTTTTTTTCTGTGTTCGTTGTTTCGGTGGTGTTCTTTTTATTTTCTAAGTAAAAATAAAGATCGCCACATACGCGTCTGAGATATAAAAGGGGGTATTCTTAATCGGGATCCGGAGTGGTGTTGGAGACTCATGTGTACGTTTGTCGTTCTTTCTGGATGATGGTAAGAGCGCGAGATTAGCAGTTAGCTTTAGCTTTAATCCTGAACACAAACACACTCAGTAATATGCGATGACTAACATATTGATATCATAATTCCTACTGCGTTGTGTGCTTATGTTCTCCTGACTTCTATTAACGGATCTCTACGTGTTTACAGAGTATCTGTGCTGTGTTTTGAGGCGAGGCCTCATCAGTCAGATCAGATTGTGTTTTCCTGAAGCGCACACATGAAGCAACTTTTAATTCTGTGATATTTTTGGATGGAAGGAGTGACTGGTCTACGGAATTAAATCTCGAGCACCGCGGTAATTGGAAAGCAATGCATCGCCCTCATTAGCTTTAACTTGATCTGATGCTCTACGAGTGACCCGACAAATCTAGGTCGTTCACATTGAAATGATGTTCTGGACATGTCGCTCACTCTCAGTGTAGAAACATCATGAGGTGAGGGTCTATACAATGAGGGAGTTGTTATAGTTCAGTAGAGATCATCAGAGATGTGGAGAAATCAGACGAGTTTAGCAGTGAACAAGAGTTATGAGATGGAAAAACAAGACACAACTAAGATGTTTTTCTCCTTTTTTTGACAGTTTTGTGAACAGGTAATAAATGCAACTATATATATATATATATATATATATATATATATATATATATACTATATATATATACACACAAGCTCACATACTGTGTTATAGACTTAATAGAAAAAATAATATTTTGTTTCATGAACATGTAATTGCAAATTAAGATTTAACTACACTATTCATTGCAAAATTAATTATTTAAAATTGTTCATACATATATATATATATATATATATATATATATATATATATATATCTCACACACACACACACACACACACATATTATATATATCATATATATATCTAATAGATGTATGTATATAAATATATATCTTATGATGTGATGATATTTAACATGATATATATTTGTATATTTGATAAAAACAATTATCTATATAACATTTTATCTTTTGTATCTGTAATAGTTCAAATAATAAAAGGTAATATTATATTTTCACGAATGAGAAATTTAAAATTTAGTTTAACCACCCCTTTTGCCTCAATGTTAACTATTTATATATATATATATATATATATATATAATATATTATTTTATTATCTAATATATGTATATATAAAATATATAAAACAATGATATATATATATATATATATATATATAAATAAATACATACACACACACACACACACACATATGTACAAGTATATAATATGAAGAGTTCAGATGCAAAAGCCTCTAAATGCCATTTGAAATTTTCTTCTTTAATGATGATTTTTATCAAACTTGTATATTTAAGTTCAGTAATTTCACTTAAATGGCAATGATAATTATTTAAGTGAAATTACTGAACTTAAATATACAAGTTTGATAAAAATCATCATTAAAGAAGAAAATTTCAAATGGCATTTAGAGGCTTTTGCATCTGAACTCTTCATATGTACAGTATAGCTACAAAAACTAGACTAAATCCACAATTAGAGTGGATGTATAATATAATCACCGTTCTGGTGTTGTTCTGTAATGAAGTTATTGAAAATCATTGTGAGTCCAGATGTTCTGCTGTCCCACAGGTGTGGTGTTCTCTGTTCTGCCTGAGTGAATCACTGTAAGTCATGATCTAATGGCAGAACGCTGTTCATTTGCTTGGTTACAGCGCCGGCTGCATCTCAGAGCTCCTAGCGGACTTTTTTGCCGTTCCTTGAGTTGTTGCCATGGATACAAGCAGGGAACCCCAGGATATAATGAACAGTAGATTGATTCCATACAAGGAATGTTTGTCCCAGGAAAAACTGCTGCTGTGTCTTTTTGAGATCTATGAGCAGATCTATCAGCTGCTAGCAGGTTTTTTGGACCCAAGAGAGACTCTCATGCCGAAATGCATTTAATCGTACCGCACGTGATTCCAACGCACTGTGCATCTCTCTTCCTTGTTCCCCGCAGGTTTCTTTCCTGTCTGTCGCTGTTCCCTGAGGGTCCGACCCTCTTCATCCTCACTCACCGCTTGACCCTATGGAGTAGCAGCTCTTGAGTGACAGGCACAAGAACCAATCAAACATCAGGAGGAGCGTCAGACTCGCAGCGGCAGGGCCGAGAGGAAGAGAGGATGTCGTCTAACCGGACACAGACCCCTCACGGTCTGAAGCAGAT